AAATGGTAGTTCTACTTACAACAATGCTAATGGTGACAAGGCACATTTTGCTGCTCACGTCTGAAAACAACGCCCATTCTACTCGATTAGGATAAAAGGAGGCATGTGGGAGTGAGAGAAACTGCAAGAACAGGTGATGGATAGGATTGGGAAGACCCAGCTTGCTTGAACTTTGTAACCATCCAAACATTTACAAGATGGCTACATTGCCTCTGAGAATTGTGGACAAGTAGCCAACATGCAAAAACCACATATCCTCCAACTTCATCAGTGAAGGATGCATGAGCTACCATCTCATCTTTTTCCTCAAATGACATGACTGGACACAAATGGTAAGAAGGTTCAGCAACTAACCAACGTAATCCTATAGAAATTACACATGCCATGGCCATGTGTCTCGCTTTCATTGGACACCTTTTGTAACAACTGGTTGTTTCCTTGCGGATTTCGGTCTATGATGGTGATTTCATTGCGCACGTTGCAGATGAAGCTGTCAACTTGCCCTAAAAAAAAGACGCTGTCCACTCGGCACCGACTAGGATGATCTGGTAAGCTAATATTTTTTTTCATGGACATGATGCATCGCTTGAGTTTCCCAAATCCCATCAGTGACTAATTGTGTCGGAAGCAAGTACGCAATCAATAATTGATGAGGTATCAGATTTATTCAGATGTTTGGTTGTCAATGACGCAGATGACAGTGAGCTGGCTGTTAAACTATGGACAAAAGGACACCGGCCACTGTACTTCAAGCCGTATTGTCTGAAATATGAGTTGGAAAAGGTGTTGGGAAGATTCAAAGAAAAAAGGATAAGGATCTCTTCCAAAAACAATTCAGTGAAAAAAGGACACCTGGAGAAAAACTGGGCAAGAAAAAGGGAGACTTTCTAGAGGATAGCATGTTGCCTATCTCATCTTGGGAAGTTGGTGTCAATTTTTGCAGCACATTTAAGGCCTTTGCTTTTGCTTATCCAGTAGAGCAACAACTGAGTTCTTATTCTAGCGTTACGACGACTATTCTTCAATCTGACGATGGCAAAGAGAAGATGTATGAGTCCACTTTCACATCAGCTAAAAGTTCATCAGCAATTCAGCATCTCAGCATTCCTTAGGGCGAACAAAAGACATTTCCTTTTGATTGATTCATGGCTACAAGCATTGTTGTGATCCTGCTTATCTTTTTTTCTTCCTTTCTAATAAAGTCAGTTGAAAAGACATTTACTTCTTGCTGGACCTGTTTTGTTTCTTTTAATAAAGTCAGTAGGGGGGCTCCCTCTCTTGTTTGGATCAAGATTCAGCATCTCACTGATGAGACAAATGCAGGAGGCCACAGTTTTCCCCAAATCCTCCCTTGAACAGCCAGCACGAGCAGCACAGTTCATCAACACAGTCTATGCTTGTCAGCGCTCTGAAGGAAAACCTGTATCGGTATACAGATAGACACAGTCAGCACCAGTCACTGCAGGTTGGCAGTTGCTGCCAGTGTGTGTAAATAGAACTGTAGAGTGGATCCTACGTTGAAGATTCTTTTTTCTCGAATACGCAAAAGATTTGCGCATCATTGTATCAAGAAGAATAGTTTAAACAAACATATAACGCGTTTGTATCGATCGCCGAAGGTGGTCGACCTAACACAGCTGAAGCTGGACCATCCTAGCAAAAGACCTCATATTTCAATATTACATAAAAGGAAACAACCAATATTGACGTAGCTTTGTGACCTAGGAGGTGGCCTTGCGTCTTTGCGGCTGCCTAGACGGTGCCTTTCCAATGGCCGAGAAGAGCTCGTCCAGCGTCTCGGCTTCGGACGCTATCAGGTTGCCGTCAAAGAGCCTGTCAAACATCTCCAACTCCGAAGCGGATGACGCAGATGGACCCTTGGTGTAGCCCATACGTTGCATGATCAACACCTCACCACGCTTGAAAGCTAGCACTTGGGAGAGGCTCTGAGCCGCCAACCGCCTGCTCTGCCATGGCAATACCGGCTTGGCAGGAGGCTGCTTGGGAGGCTCGGGAATCAGCGGAGAGTCCCTCTTACGCGTGACATTGCTTATGAAGTTGTCGAGGCGTCGTTTCGCGGAGTCGTTGTTGTCCACAGCCTGGTGGGTAACCCCCGATGGTGAACTGGGAGGGCCATCCACCGTGAGGTCGAGCGTGTGTGTCGTCGGTGAGTCCACCGCCCACTGAATGGGGCGCGGCGGTGGTGTTCGCAGCTCACAGGAGACCACCACCGGGTCCCCATCCTCCAGCTGGGGGGCTGCCACTGTCGGGGCCATAGCCGGAAGCTGGGGGTCGCCGAAGTTTACGGGAGGCGCTCAAGGGAAGGCCACGCGTCGATCAGACTGCCGACGAGCGAGGCTACGAACTCCTCAACCATCGGGTCCTCCGAGATATCGCGATCATATGCGTGGCGCCTGGGTACCGCGTGAGCGTCAACGGGTCGGGCTCAATGATGCCCGTCGCGTTGGTCGACACACCGTGCCATGCCTGAGCACCAGCGGCGACCAAGGTGAAGTCCGGTGTCGCTTGGGCGGCCCCTGTTGACCAGCCGTGACTATCGGTGGCGACACTCATTGCCGCAGCGGTGTCATCCCCCTTCTGTCGGCGCCGATGTCTCCGACGCCTCCGCCGTCTACGCCCACTGCCACCGCGCGGCCGCGCTCGACGTGCCACCTTGGGTACGTGGCCGGTTGCCCAAGGTACGCTCTTGGATAGGGCGTCGTTGTCGGCCTTCTGGGGCATCAACTGTGCCGGAGCTAGAAGGAGGCAACTTCCGTCGCTGCTTACAGTCCTGCACGAGGTGTCGGAATCCCTTGCATCGGAGGCAGCGTGGGGGCAGCTTGTAGGTTGCCACCCTGTGCGCGGTGCAGAGACAGTTGGAGCACTTCCCGTGCAGATCCGCCGGATAGCCGGTAGGGGGCCGCTGGTTCACCGATGCAGTGCGGGCGGAGCAAGACCCTCCGGCACCGCTTAATGACCCCTGCGACAAGACCTCACACCAGCCGTCGATGTCCAGAGCAGAGATGCGCTGGCGGGCGGAGCCCCGTCCATGATGTCTGAGGCGTTGCCGGACGGGGACGTGGCCAACCACGGGTCGAGCAAGCAAGCCGTGCACCAACTGGGGGCGCGGCCGTGGCTGGTGAGTCCTGCGGTTGCGCCGCCCATGCACAGTGGCAGTACCAGTAGCACTGTTGTGCGCGCCTCTTGCGACGTTGGCTGGCCGGGCTCCCTCAGCCATGGGGCGCCTGCCCCGCTCAGCAGCAGCGTTGCCTCCGACGATGAGGCGTGGCTTGGCACGCTCCAGCAAAGGCGACGTCCGGAGCTGCGACCCCTGGCGGACTGCGTCGAGGTAGGAGGTTGAAGAGCTGACCGGCGACCTCTCCGCATCGGAGTCATCAAGGTCCTCATCCGCCCAACAACGAGCCTTGGAACGCCCCATCAAGCCATCCCCAGGGTGGAAGGGGGAGGCGAGAGGGGACAGAGAGGACGACGGGCTGGGCGCGGAGGGGTGGACGAGGAAGATGTCGAGCCCCAACGCCGGAGTAGGCCGCTGCGGCGAGCTGGGCGCAGAGGCGTCCTCGTCATCCAAGATGTCCTCGACGAGGACCATCGACCCGTCCTCCATCAGCGGCAACTCCGGCTAGGCGGCGGCTTCCTCAGGACACGTTGGCGGCGGCGCAGCCTCCCTGCTAACAGCTAAGGTGCCCGCACCTGGCCCAGCGGCCACAGCGCGTTTGCCGGCCGCGGCGTTGATGGCCACGACAGCAGCAGCTTCCAGCGGCGTCGAAGGGGGCGGAAAGGGTGGGCCCTTGGCTGCCGGCGACCCAGCGCCCATGGCCAGCGGATCTCGGACGGTGCTGACGCGGTCAGAGCCCCCGGAGCGGCAGGACGAAGCGGGGTCCAGCAGCTGCGGCGCACCAGGAGGCGGCGTTGCGACGGTGGGCTGCGCGGGCCCAGATCCACGCACATCCAGCCAACCCTACGCCGGTGTACGAGGCGGGTGGGGGACCGGCGCTCCTGTCGTCGCTGAGGGTGGCGCGGGCCCCTCCGTTGCCGACGGCGGCGGGGCGGGGGCTAGGAAAGAAGAGGGCGCCGCCGACGGTGGAGAGGCCGCCGGATGCGGAGGAGGTGGGCGGGGAGCCGGGCTCCCCTGCACGCGACTCCCGTGCGGGTGAGGAGGAAGGGAGGGGGAGGCGCATAGGGGAGGGGAGGGTGGCGGGGAGGGGTAGGGCGCCAGCGCCAGTAGCGGTGGCGGCTGGGCAGGCTCCAAGGCTAGGGTTGGGAGAGCCCCCCACCACTGACCGCCTCTGTTTGTAGGATATCAGAATTCATGTTACGACACAGGTTACGTTGAAGATTCAGGCAATGAAATTTGCAGAGGGACCATCTTGTTACTGTTTGTGTATAGTTTCCTTTGTTGGTTCTTTACTCGCTCCTAAAATTCATGTCACATTGAATGTTTAGATACTAATAAGGAGCATTAAATATAGATTAATTATAAAACCAATTACATAGATGGAGATTAATTTGCGAGACGATTTTTTAAGCCTAATTAATCTGTCATTAGCATATGTTTACTGTAGAACCACATTGTCAAATCATAGACTAATTAGACTTAAAAGATTTGTCTCGCAAATTAGTCGCAAGTTATGCAATTAGTTTTATAATTAGTCTATATTTAATACTCCATGCATGTATCAAACAAAATAACCAAACACGGCCCTACACAACTCATCTTGTTGGGCCAATTCTAGCTCTTTCATCGATTTCTCACCAGGAATTCAGGACAGCCAGAAACTCTGAATCTGATGGAAACTCCTTGGCAAGTGACTAAAAACCCCTCCATGCAGCTTATGATGGTTTCTTTAGAAATATGGGGAAAAAAACCCTGCATTCACCTCGAAAGATTCAACTTGCTATTTCATTCCCTCTTCTTCTAATTAGTCTATGCACAGTACATTGTTCCCTAAACAACTCTATCTAGTCTCTCTCTCTTTTTTTTAACGAACAACTCTCCTGATCCTCACAGGAAGGCCGCCGCTGATGGAGGCGGTGAGCCCCGACACGAACTTGGGCGCGCAGGCAGCGGCGCCACTGTCCCCAACCACCTCGACGTCGAAGGCCCTCACCACGGCCACCGCAACGGCTTTCATCTCGGTGACGGCGAGCTCCTTGCCGAGGCAGACGCGGAGGCCCGCTTGGAACACCGGGTACCTGTACAGGCTCTCGGGGACGAACGTCCCGCCGGGCCCGGTGAGCCAGCGGTCGGGGCGGAACGCGCCGTGGTCGGCGCCCCAGATGCGCGGCATCCTGCCCATGGCGTAGGGGTGGTACGTCACGCGCGTGCCGCCGGCCACGTAGGTGCCGTCGGGGAGCACGTCGGGGCCCGCGCAGAACTTGGAGTCGAACTGCACCGGCGGGAACAGCCGCATGTTCTCGTACAGCACCGCGTGGGTGTAGTGCAGGCGCTTCAGGTGCTCGTAGGTGAGCGGCGGCGTGGTGGACCCGTCTCCGTCGCCGCCGCCGGCCTCCGAGCGCATGGCGGCAGCCACGGCCGGGTTCTTCGACAGGAGCATGAAGAGCGTGGTGAGCGCGGACGACACGGTGTCGCGCCCGGCCAGGAGGAAGCTGACCACGATGTCGCGGAGGTACTTGTCGTCGACCTCGTGCGCGTCGTCGCCGGCCGAGGCCATGAAGCGGGACAGGAGGTCGTGGCTGCCGGCGACGCCCAGCTTGCGGCGCTCCAGGATCATGGCGGCCGCGAGCTCGTCGACAAGCGCGATGGCCTCCCTGAGCTCCCTCTCGGACCCGACGTTGAGCAGGCGCTTGGCTTTCCACAGCAGCGGCGACGCCGCGGCGCCGCGCATGGCGCAGAGCCGCGTGGCGGCGTCGAACGCGTCGGCGAGCCTCGACACGGGCATCTCCAGCTCGAGGCAGCACGGGTCGAGGCCGAAGGAGATCTTGCAGATGGTGTCGAACGCGAAGCGCCGGAACACGTCCTGCAGGTCGACGACAGCGCCGGCGTCGGCGGCGGCCGCGAGCACGGGCAGGAGGCGGGACTCCACCTCCTGCGCGACGATCCCGAACGCGTAGGACCGGACGGCGACGCTGCCGAGCTCGAGGCTGGCCATCTTGCGCTGGTGGCGCCAGGCGTGGCCGTCGACGTTGAAGATGCCGCGGCCGAGGAGGTCCCCTAGCACCGCCGCGAAGGCCTTCCCCTTGGGGAAGTTGTCGAAGTTCGTCCGCAGCATGTACTCGACGTTGGCCGGGTTGGCGGTGACGGTGCAGCCGAGGACGTGGACGTGGACGGTGCCGGTGGGGGAGTCCCGGAGCAGGTGCGCGTACCAGTCGCCGAGGTTGGTGAAGTCCTGCGCCCACGACCCCGTCAGGTACGCCCGGCACACGTGGCAGCTGCACCAGGGCCACCGCCGGAGGAGCGTCAGCACGACGCCCAGCGCCGCCACGCAGAGCGCGGCGGCGAACAGGGCCGCGCCCAAGCACTGCGCCGCCCATGGCAGCGACGAGTCTGCTGCTGCTGCTTCCATGGCGATGGCGGGCGCTTCTGCTCTGTTCCGGTGTGGAACAGGGAGAAGAAGGTTGGGTCGGGAAATGTGTGTGTGTGTGGGTTTCGTGCCGCAGAAGGCTGCGGCGGCTTGGCTATATATAACGGGGCAGACCGGGAATACGCACATGGGGCACGTGCGTTTTGGATTAAGCAACGTTGGTATTGACCTTTTTGCCTTTTTCGTGCTCACAGCTCAGGTCCTCCTCGTTGTGGTAACAGTTGATGGCAGTTGGGCCCACATGGCCGAAGAGAAAAAGGCGAGGGGCGTGCCACAGGAGTGAAAGGTGGTTGTTTCTTTTTCCTAAAATAAAAGAAAAATGCTTCACGTTGGACTAGGGTGCATTCCCCCTGTATGCCATGCCACCAGGAACGGCCATTTGGCGCAGCTCTCGACCCTGTTCGTTTGTTGGTTTCAAAATTTCAAAACCAACCAAATCGGTCAATAGTTTTTCTCTCATAATAAATCAAGACCAAACCAAAAAAGTAAACTAGCCAAAACCAACCAAATGTAAACAGGCCGCTTTCATCGCTCTAGCCCAGCACACATACGTCGGTGCGCTACAGTTCCAAATAGTGTTGGTATAGTATTTTTTAAAGAAGCCTGAGCACCCAGGAGCTATAACAAACAAGGCCTAGAGCATGCAGTCTCATGAAACCACCTTATCTATAGCAGCGTTGTTTATTGAAAAACAGTAAAGTAAAGAGAGGGTTGGTTGGAGCCTCCAAGGCCATGTCCTTGACATTTTTTCCACAAAATACTTGCATGCGTATTCGCTGCTACCAGCGCACGCACACACTGTATTCTTAATTAAGATTGTCCTTGAGATATTAGGTCATTAGATTTCAAAATTAATAAAGTCACCATAGACACTAAGAACATGTCTTTGAAGCTGATGTCTTGAAAAAGGGAGTGGAGGTGTGTAACTGAAATGTTTTTGTTTCCTTTATGGAATGCGTCTTTTCACTTAATCACTTAAAAGGGGCAAATATTACAACTTTTAACGAATAGTGAGTATATACTTCCTCGGTCCTGGAATATAAGAGATTCAGAGTTCACAGTTTGTACCAAAATAGTACAAGGTATATATTCTGGGTTTTGAACCCTCTCTCACCTTTGTCTTTTTTGCAGGAAATATTGAAATTCCTTTTAACTTGGCATGAACCAAATAAACCAGTCAGTAATTAAGGAAAATAACAACTGCACTACTCCCTCCATCCTAATTAGTGAGCGGCAATGTGGTCTTTTGCTAGGCTCCTTACTGGGCAATATGGTCTTTTGGTAGGCTCCTTACTTTATCTGAAAACCGCTTGTTATATTTTAGGATGGAGGGAGTAGTTATTTATAGTGTACCAAAATGACATATATAGATTCTTATTCAACGAGAATTTTAAGCTGTTGCTGCTTTTATATATTATTATATCAACTGGTAATATATATTGTAAGATAAATCAAAAGGCCAACCCCAATTTTGAAGACTTCCTTCTATTAAAAGGTTTGAGAGGAAGGCCTCGAGCATGGCCCCTAGGAGTGATTTTCTTTTAAAAAAAGAATAATGCTTCACGTTCTACTCTAAACGATACTTTGTGCTTGTGCCCTATATGCCACACAGGGAGGCAGCCAGGCAGGGACTGGGCAAATCTCTGAGGTCCCGTTTGGTAGAGCTCCTAACTGCTCTAGCTTCCCTGCCGCATTCACTGTTCACACACTGTTTATAGTAGCCGTTTTTATCTCTCCTCTCTCCTCTTCTCATAGAGCCAGTGGGAGCAGGAGAAGACACCATTGGCTCTGTGAGAGGAAGAGATAGGAAAGAGAAAAATAGCTTCTATAAACAGTGTATGAACAGTGAGGTGTAGCCCTGGATTTAAATAGCGGGCTATAGCGCCGTTATAGCTTCTGGAGAGAGCCCACGCTAAGCCATTGCTAGTTTTTCTACTATGTCACCTATGACCGCTATATTGTGCTTTAGCGCCGCTAAATTGCTTTGTTGTAGCTTTGAAATAACGCCACTATTTCAGTTTTCGCTATAAGAGTGATAATTTAGTTATTATCTTTGTCGATAAGTTGGGCTTTTGGAAAATTGAACATAAATAATGCTATAATGCCATATTAAGTAATATTTCCTAGACTCCTAAAGCCTTGGAAACATATTTGTGTTCACTAAATTTCTTGATTCTTATGTTTTTATAAATCAATTGCATGTATTTTTAATTGGTTTCCTTAAAAGGCTATATGTCATAGCTCCCACTATAGCTATGCTATAGCTTTATAGCTTCTGAAAAAAAGATGCCGCCATTTACTATAGCCCGCAATTTTAAACCTTGGGTGTAACTGAAACATTTTTCTCCCTTATTGTATGCCGTTTTTCATTTTGAAAGGTCAAACTTTACAACTTTTAACTGAAAGCTAGACATATACTGATTTGGTGTAAAAAAGTTGCATTAATATAGATTCATCTTGAATGTGGCAATTGACAACATTTCATAAGAGAAATTAAAGGTAAAAATTCAATTTTTGAATACTTTTCCTCTATTATAATACTCCTTATATTGTGAGGATTAAAAATATATTGGGTTTGGACCATCTTAAGGATTGAAATGTTAATTTGAGCTGCGCGTGTCATGAATCGGGTAGTGGGATAAAATCAAGTATTCTAGCCATTGATTTTACATGTTTCTGTTTTTTCTCTCTATTTTTTTTAAAAAAATTGAGATTAAATCATTTGGAGTTTATACATTTTGAATTGGAATTTTAAAATATAAAATTTTGAGTTGGAATTACAAAATACCCATGCGACATTGGAGTTGGAGCTAATGAGGAGTACATGCGACTTTGACATCACCGTTGTTGTTGAACCCAACCGATGGTAAATCAGCCATGCATTTAATTTTGCACTGAAATGGTCAAGCAACAACACCTCTGAACCATTGAGCTTGATGCTGACCTGAGAGGTCAAAACTAGGAATAGGTGTGGGCTTCTCTGTTTTCTTTTTAAATAAAATGGACGTATAAAATTGGCATTTTTTTTATAAGCTAGCTAGGTTTCTTATTGTGGAACATGTTCACTCTGGTTCAAATCCTGAACTTAAGGCGTGCGGGTGCTCGTATTGGAGGCCCACGTAATAATAGAATCATAAACATAAAAATCTAAAAAAACAGACTTTACTAATTAGAACCGTAGTATCAGACCCTTTAGTTAAAATCATAAAGACTTATAACCGTATAGCAAAATCGTAGATTTTATAACTTTATATGTGTTCCTAGATACTTTTACTTGAGTAAAAGAAAGGGGGCTCATAGGAGTTGCCTTTTTGCTGCACGAACCCTATATATATACACATACACCAATAGAAGCAAGTATGGAACTTGGATAGAAAACTTGTAACAGAAACATCACAGAGAATCATATTTGAAGTAGGCGAAAGGAGTACTGCTTGGTACATGCAAGGATGCAGTTGAGATAAATATAAATCTGTTTTCTAAACTATTAATTTACATGATGATGTTGCAGCTTGCACTTAGTTTAACGTTGCAAGTTGGACAATGAGAAGTACTCCATCCGTCCAAAAAAAAATGACGCTACGAGATACATGCTGGTCAAACTTTCTCATGTTCAGATTAATAAAAATATTAGCAACATATGTATCACTAAATAAATTTATTACGAAAATATATTCAACGATTCATCTAATAGTACTAATTATGTATTATAAATATTAATATTTTTATATATAATTAGTTAAAATTAAAAATTTTGACTTATTGAAAAGTGAGTTCTCCGAGAGACGGAGGGAGTAGTAACCAAGTCGGCATGCATGCTGGCTCGTGGTTCCAAAACATTGGTCCATGACAGTTGGATTCCCATGAGAGAACTGCTTCGGTAGTCCTCTTTTCTAGAATTACACGCATCTCGAAGCGGCCCACCAATTAATTAACCATTTTCTCAATTATTATTATTTATACTGGGCTGGCCCTTCCAAGACCAAAACAAGCCCAGCCCAAGTCCAAGTGCATGACGTATCCATCTCCCTTCGGATCAGAGTTTTCGTGACGGAGGTCCACAGGCCGCAGCCGACCTATGCCCATGTCACAGCCTCACAGGTTAACAGGTAGGCGAGGACGGCCACCGCAATGGTTGCACCGTGGACGCCGCCGGCCGAGTCAGCACCCTCTCATGGATCTTGCATTCTCCGGAGGCGCCGGCCGCCGGTGGCGGAGGTGGAGCCGGCTGGACGGCCTAGAGAGTCCACGGCGCATCGCTCCAACTCCAAGACAGAAAACTCCAAATACAGGTGTACTTCATGGTGATTCCACTCCTGTACACGGCAGAAGCAATGCTGCAATTTCCATCGAACTACTAGCATGCCAGAAAATTAATCAGGGTGGTGCTGCCTCGCGCCGGCGTCCATGACGCAGCTATCGCGGTGGCCGTCCTCGTGGACATCCAACACAGGCAGCGAACGTCCATCAGGAAGAGGCAGAGGACCTTCTCATGCAAAATGGAAGGACACTGAACAAAAGGATTTAGAGGTAGATGCAGGCGCCGCTGTGGATGAGCCGCCGACGAGGTCCGCTCCTTGTCGCCGCACACCGCACACGGAAAGCAAACGCCAAAGTCCGAACAAAGGGGATCCGCGATGAGGATGAGTCCGGCTTGGGTTTGGGCTGGGCAAAGGCGGGGAGGGGCCAGGTCCATGCGGATCCATAATAATTAATTAATTAAGGATGTGCCGCTTTGAGATGCGTGTAATTGAAAAAAGAGGACTACCGGAGCACTACTCTCTGCATTGGACCAAGTGGCGCATCGCGCTCTGAGAACTGAGATTCTCTTAACCATTCAAGCCATGCAATAGCCAACTCACGCATGTACGCATCTCTGATTCCTGATATGCATGTGCATGCTTTCTCAGTTCTCACCCTTTTTTTTTTCTAAAACAATGTTTTTATAAAAAATTAAAGTACCATGCATGCATGTGACATTA